ATTCATCAAATGACAAACACATGTCCATGGTCAGGAAACTTAACCATCTTTGATTAATGAGCTAGTCAAGTAGAGGCATACTAGGGACACTCTATTTTGTCTATGTATTCACACATGTACTAAGTTTTCGGTTAATACAATTCTAGCATGAATAATAAAAAATTATCATGATATAAGGAAATATAAATAACAACTTTATTATTGCCTCTAGGGCATATTTTCTTCGGACTTCTTTAGTGTGACCTTGATACATTCCCCACAAATTTTTGTGGTAGTTCTCCCATTGCCAATGCATGCAATCAATTGATCTGAGCATTTCTAAAAACCATCATGTGGCCTCTCAAATAGCCCACAACTTTTCTGTGTCCTGCATATTTGGTTATCTTAAAATACTCTGCTCCAAATACCTGCACCATGGTGCGGGCAAACTTGACAGCAGTCTTCAGTCATGTGCTCTCCCACATCCAGACCATCTCACCAATGGCATCTGCGGCCTCTGTTGGAAAAGGCAGTGCCTAGGAGACGCTTAGGCACGCTTAGGCGCTAGGCAATGGCCAAACACCTCACCTAGGACATAAGCGCAAGTCTAGGCAGGGCTAGCAAGAAGTTGTCTACCCGAGTGAGAAATCTTGTGATATTGCATTGATATGCCAAACATGTCATATTCAAATGGCAGTAGCTGGTAGTTAAATTATCAATGTGACTTAAACTAATATTGACACACATATAATACCACAAATACATTCTGATTGTAAAAACTATATTACCGCCTAGGCCACGCCTAGGACGCTTAAGCACCGCCTAGGCACTAGGCGAAGGCCAACTGCCTCGCTTACGCCTACCGCTTTTTCTAACCTTGTCTGCGGCAGTACCAAGTGCAAGCATCCTCAGAGCAGCCGTGCATTTCTGCTTAGCAGAAAAAGAAAGTTGGTTGCACCAATTCCTTGTGAGGTTGAAGTAGTCATCGTGTGCCTCCACTCCCTCTAAAATGCGCAAAACCAATGGTTTGCGCATCCGAAAACAACGAGAAACCATGGATTATCCGGGAAAGTTAGGTCCGGAGCAAAGTAGTCCCTGTGCAGTAGTCGTGCTTAAGAGACCCCATCCCAGTTGATCGTTCTTTCTTTCTTTAGTTGAGCCCTTAAAGCTGAGAATGTGCTCCACTTGTCGGTTTATTTCCTCTTGCATGGTCATAGCATGATCATATCCACTTCTTCGTTTGAATGTGACAAACTAAAGAACTCGGCTTCAATCATTTTATCAAGCTCTGTCGGTCTATACTCCTCGTTTGACGAAGCATCAGAATTCATCGCTTTCTATACAAATAAATCACAAAGTCATGGATTTATCTAGACATGTTTTAGTGTTAGATACATCCATATCTAGATAAATCTAAGACAAGCTTTTTGGGACAGAGGTAATACACGTTTTCTCGCTTGTTTTTTACTACTTTGATTCTGGCCGCCTCTGTATAACTTTTTTTTGCGATGGAAATAGGGTGCAACAAGTTCAGAAATAAAAAAAGGAAATTGGTTAAGCCAGCACGCAGTGTTATCCTCATATCTATCGTAATTTGCTAAGCAATGTGCAACTTTGTTTTGATCACGAGAAACTTTAACACGAACAAACACTCTATTCTCCAGTAAACCTTTGATTTCTGCCAAGAGATGACCATATGTTGATCTGTCCAGTGAATCATTAGACAGTGTTGATAAAGCTGCCAAACAATCAGATTGTAGCTGAACTGGTCGATTCGACCGTTGAATTGCGAGACTTACTCCTTCCATAATCGCATGTAACTGCGCTTCCAGCGCCTCATTGCAGTAATAAATGCGTCGGTAAGCCGCAAAAATAACACCACCCTTGTCATCACGTAAAACCATACCTGATCCTGCAGCTCCATCTTCCATACAATAAGAACCATCAATAGAGAGAGCTATCCAGCCTGGCGGAGGAGCCGGCCAAGGAAGACATGGCGATGATGACCGAGTTTTCTCAATCACTAGTTCCATCAACATTGGAGCTTTACCTTTGATCACCTCTTCCACACACATACAGCTTAATTGTAGCCTCTGTATAACTGTATTGCTTGTCTCTTTATTGTCTAGACTTACATTGAAAAATGAGATAAAATATCAAAGAAAATAATATTCTTAAAACTTATAAATAGTTTGGATTGCTTACCACAAAACTTGATCTTTTTAATGTCTATATATTCATGTAGGGAGAGATGTTCGAATAAGTAGCGTGCACATTTGTTTTGCAAAAATAATAGTAAAAAAAGCGTCAACACTTGGAGATATGCGAGGTAGAAAGGTATATACTTCCTCCGATTCAAATTAATTAGGAGTAATAGAATTCCCAGTCCGGTGAAACAAGTCCACCTGGTTTAAGTCTTGGATTTCATATGGATGTTTGTATTTTTCTGGATTTTTTCATGCCTTTACAGTGTTTATTTTTCGTTGCTAAAATACATCTGCAAGGCCAACACATCATCACCAACAGGACGTCCATGACAATGTTACAACTATTTATGAAATTCACGACATCATCCTCAACCAAAATCAACATAATTTATCAACTGATTCCGGCCACGCCTTAAAGATGAGGGAGAAACGGGATCCTCGAGGCCACCAAGCAGAGTCAGTCTCGATGCCACAACGATTAGGATCTAGATGAGCGCGGTGGGTGGCATTCGGGGGTTTCTTCCCGAGCACCAATCGGCACTGAGCATGGGTACCAACTGGCACGGCCCATCAACCCCAAGGATGACTGATGGGTATCGAGGGAGCCCATGCTGCCTGGCATGGCTCACATCGTAGGGATGCAATGATGACACGAGGGGTGTGTTGTCTAGGATGCATCGTTGAAGGCCTCAAGGAGCAGGTAGACTAGCATTGACGTGTGTCACGAAGATGCCACTTCCAAAGACGACTTCTCTGCACGCCCAATCCCTAATGGGTCACCTATGTGACATGCAAGCTAACATTGTCTCACTACCGAGTTGTTGTCATCATGTTTGGACCAATGATGTAATCTTCTCCGCGCTATATAAGTCGCAAAGGAGACCGTCTACGAGGATGGATCCCCATTAGAACACTTAGAGCTTGTTGCACCCTTGTAAGCAGGAGATCTCTCAACATACAATCAAGAACACAAGGCAGGAGTAGGGTGTGACACCTCGTCGGTGGCCCTACGAGTCGTTGGATTGGACCGAAGCGTACGTCCAGGATTGCGTTGACTAGGCCGTCCTTTACCACCCGCAATGCACATCCAACGACTAGGGGAAAAAATCCCCCAACGTCTCCCCGCGCGCCTTCCCCCGACGAAAAAAAGTCGCAACACCTCCGTCGCAAAAACTCGTTGTAGGAGCACAATGCATTCACCGCTTGATGCGGAGCATCCTGCGGACATCACCATGTCAAGAGTTCCATTTTCAAGTGACACGTGCCACATCTACTTCATATACATAAAGATGAATCATCTCCTTTACACGTGTTCACTTGATCCTTTCTTGGATGGTATACTACTTAACCCTCCATCGACATATATAGGTTTGAGCCAAGCTTCACGAATTGTCGTCTCCAGTGATGACAACATCGTTGCCGTATTAGCATGCTACGACCGCCACACACGGCTAGCACCACCACCCCCGTTGCAACACTACTTGTCTCTGGTAGTATTGCGCAGCGTTGCCGGTTGCAGGAGCAGAGATCCCTTGTCCTAGCATCTTGCAACAGTTGGGTGCGGTGCGGGCGGCGATTCCAACATGTGGTTACCGTGGTCCCAACATTGATAGATGTCGGTTCCAGCATGTGGTTAGCGCGGTCCCAGCATCTTCCAGCAACTGGGTGCGGCGCGGTCGCTCGCAGTCGTAAAATTGATCGATACCGGTTCGAGCATGTGATTACCGCGGTACCAACATTCACCTATGTCAGTTCCAGCACGAGCTGACCGCGGTCGCAACATCCATCGATGCCGGTTCTAGGACGTGGTGACCGTGGTCCCAGCATTCGTCAACGTCGGTTCTAGCACGCGCTAACCGCGATCGTAGCATTAGTCGTAGCCAGTGGCGGAGCTAGATGCAGACTACGCCTGGGGCTATGCTATGTTAAGTGATAAACTTTTATGATTTTCTATGCTTTGCATGAAGAAATTATAAAGGAAGTTGTTTCTAGACCTGGGGCTATAGCCCTAGCTGCCCCAGCCCTGTCTCCGCCACTGGTCGTAGCTGGTTCCAGCACCATGGTCGCCTCGCGGGTGCAACTTTGTCGTAGCATGACAACCTCGCAGCAACACTAACCATAGCAGAAGCACAGAACCGCACCAACACCAATCGTGTGCGAAGCCGATGACACATCATCACCCCGCTCCGCAGAAGTACTTGGACCTGCCCGAGGCCGGCCCTTTGCAACACATGTGGCGGCGTTTCGCAACATCAGCGGCGGCCCTCCACGGCGGCGGTGGGTGCCTCTCGCACCGAGCGGCCATAGGCGGGTGTGGCTACGACGGGTTTTAGATGTGACACGAATGAGAAGCCTGAGCACGTGAAAAAGAATGGAGCGGATAGCTGCGCGTGAAAGAGATAGGAGAGGGTATGGACGGTTCACGGGCCCCACGCGAGGACTCTCATCGTGCACGAGGCAGCCGGCGGAAGCTGAGACCGGTCGGCCGGTTTGAATCACTTACATAAAACTAGGAGCTGCGTCTGTACTACAAACATAATACTACTTACTATGGAGTAGATTGCTCCCTCGCCGTACCCCGTCCTATTTTTTCTTATGCACAACAGCACATACCTAGCAACACTCGCGCACCCACACAAACTCCCCATTTCTCCCCCGCAGCGACTGGCACTTGCTCTTGCACAGTTTCCTCGACGTGTCTTCGGCCCCAAAAAATCATCCGTACGTTCACTTACGAGCTGCCGCATTTTTTGCACCCTCCGTCAGGAGATTCATGCCAGTAAAAGGTCTTTGTTGAACAATCTCCTTTCGTAGTCAGGGCCGTGTAGGAGCAAAAGAAGAGATCCGGGAGAACTGTCTCGTCATCTGGACAGAGTTCAGCTGCCAAAACAAAATACACGAAATGTCAAGTTTCGGCACAAGGTATATTTCACAGGGCGAAAAAACCAACGCGTGGGTGGGGGTCGGAGCCGGTACCCGTATCAGCCGCTCGTCACGGAAGCTTGGAGCCCTGTGCTTCAGTTCTCCACGGTGAGTCGTGAATTCCTCCATCACCTCGGCAGTATATTCAGAGGGATCTTCGATGCCTCGTGTGATGGATTCGCCATCACCCTGGGCAAGGGAACCAAATGAAATCCTAGCAGCAGCGACATGCTAAACCGCACATGAGACTAAAAGATGCAGTAAATGCAACCGGGAGTGACAGAAGCCCATACCTCTGGTATCGATGGGTCACGGTGCACCCCCTCGCATTCTTCGTACTCGGACGCATCCAGCTCCCACAGGTGGCGCGTGTCGAAGAATTTCGGGAGGAGATGCTCCCTGATGATGACAAGGAAGAAGAAGAGGAGCGGGAACAGGATTCCCGCCACCGGTATCCATGTCATCCCCCAGACGATCAACAGATAAATCAGCTGGAAAACGGTGAAGGCCAATATCTGGTTGAAAGGCACCGACTCCAAGAAGGACGCATGGGCGCCTTCAAGAACCCTGTCCAAAATTAGAACAGATGAATATTCACCCCAACTCCCGGTTTTCCTGAATGAACCGAATGAGACCAAGATGCATAAGGCTGCGTTGCATATGATGGAAAGAAATGAACAGACACAAGAGTCGCCAATAGAGCGTACTTGTAGCGCCGCCGAGGGGTGATGAACAGAAGTTGTAAGCGCTCCCCGAACTGGTTCCCAGGCAGGCTGTCGATGGACATATAGCCAAAGTACCCCCACAGGACTGATGTGGGTATCTTCTGAATGACCGGCACAACTCCAATGCAACCCGCGACCAGCAGGGACTGAAGCAGATTGCTTACTCTCTGCTCATTCACCCGTACAGGCAAGTAAGCTTCCAGATGTTTTTCAGGGTCAAATACCTCAGGCGCAGTCACTGCCCCATTCCCCTCTGTGATTTTTTCCCCCTCTGTGATAACGGCGTCTTTCAATTCCTTGAGCTCTTTGTGAGCAGAATCCTCCTGCGCGACGTTAAAGATATATAGTTTTAAGTAACAAAGCTGAGATCATATGATTCTTACATGCATATTTTGGCGAGTGACTACTTACGTTGCCTTTGTCGTCCATTTTAATGAAAACTTCTTGCATCTTGCCGTAAACTTCTGAGCTGCTAGCATTGTTCATCATGCCTTCCTTGGCGGTTCGGACCATCTGTTTGCGGAGCGCCTAATTTGAGCCAAGAGAGACGGCAGATGAGCAAGGTGAAACTGAATAGCTCATTGAAAAGCCAAGAAGACCACAAACTACCAACCTGCCTCCTGAGGACAGCAAGACTTCGCGTGTGCATGGGGGCCTGGGGAAGGACTCCATTAGATGGAGGAATGCCAAGAAGGCCACAAATCAGCACCTGCGTAGCATTTCTATACCATGAGAACAGTAAACAATTCTCCACATGTTGCCTAATTTATAACAGTTTTTCTATTTTCTGTAAGCACTTGGAATTCACAGATAAGATCTTCAGAATTCTATTAGGACTGACATCCATAATGCCAGAAGAAGAGAGAATAATAGATCATACCGAAAAGCTCAGGACCAAAATGTCGTAATGGTATGCTGATGGGTTTTTCAAATTGAACTCTTTCTGCTGAGCCATCTGTGAGGCTACACTATGGTCAAAGAAATAGAGCCCCGCAACCATCACAGCAGGCACAATTGCCAAAAGTATGTAGGCTAGAGGGACAGAAAATAACTCCTGCATGTTCATCACCACCCATCAGGATTATGAGTTCACATTTGTGACATATCTACTGTTTGATCCTGGATCCAAGTAAAATTCCTTATTACCTTGGCTACCGTCCAATGTTGCAGTGACTTGGGTTCCCAAGGAAGTGGGGTGAACAGCCTCCTAGGAACACCTGAAGGTATCTTGGTGGGCAACGAATATGACAACGCGGTCCACAGTATCACCATAAGTGGAACACCATAGTCAGCAATCACGTTCCTTAGCCATCCTGAAAGTTTTACCTGAAGCATTGATAGTTTGTACGTGGAGAAGATTGGTTGATCAAATGTACTACATGGAGAAATATGACAAACCAGCTCCGTAGAGCGATGACCTTGCACTTCTGCTCTTTAACGCAGTATAGAGCAGTCCCATTGAAAAGATAACTCCAAGCAGACCATTAATATATACCCATTGGAATTGGTATATGGGTAGGCTCTGATCTTTACCCTCAGGCACACTGAATTCACTCAACATTCCCTGCGGAAAACAGGCCACGTAGTGAGTAAGCGTCTACCAGAATGCTCCCTTTACTCCAAAATATATAGTGCTTTGAACAAGGCACAATCTTCAATAAGAAAAACCTGACAATCTATTTTTATGGTTATATATTAATTATCATGTAATTTTATTATTTCGAGAGCACTTTTCTGCTTTCATGTTTCTAACAGATACATCTTTTTTTGAAGTAACAGATGCAATCATACTATTTTCATATAACTAACATGAATAGTTTTGAGGTAAAAGCAGCTGCTGATGCAATTGAATGCTCGCTTTTGCCTAACCGAAGCAGTAGCTGATCCTAGTTCGGTTATGGCTCTCTGGCTCTGACCCAATTCAGTTTCGTTTTGTATGATCATAAATATTAGCGGCCAAAGTCGAGAAAGATGGACCACCCAACTCCTAAAATATCATATATCTCTAAACATTGGTAGCAGTACACAGTAACATTTAGCAAATTTTATACCTTGATAGCTTCTTGCATGAACAGGATTGTGATCAACATTCCAAACAATTCTCCCGCAAATCTTGTAAATCTATTCAAAGCAGCTGCGGCATTAAACATTGCCATGAGGAACAACATGACCGCAGTCCAGATGCAAACCCTATCAGAGGATAAAAATGGAAAACAATGAAATAAATATAGAGGTACCATTTGGCGTAACTGAAAGACAATCACAAGAAGTAATTCTTATTTATTTATCATCCCTTACCATCCAGCCCATGCCAGGAATAATCGTTCTCCAAGGTTTGGCTGATTTTTGGCAAAACTGTACAGGTATGTGTACATTATAATTGTTGGTTCTGCAACTCCCACAATCAGCAGTGGTTGTCCGCCCAGTACAGAATGTATGATGCCACATATAGCAGTTGATGCCAACGTCTCAACTGTCGTTAGCGTACCATCTGAAACACGACAAAAACTTATTTTCATTTTTCAGTGCCTAAGAACAAGGATCCACGACTACATTCTCCTTATCTTTGTCAAGTGCCACATGGAAAGATAAAAGTAAAGGATGTAGCATATCATGACAGTATTTAGAAATGGGAAAAATGCTACTGACCTAAAGTTCTTGACAGTGCAAGGAAGAATAAACAAACCTGTATCTTTACTTAGTTGCTCCCCAAAGGCGATAACAGGTAGTGCAGATGCAAAGAAGATGTACAGAGTAGGTGCCAATATCCTGACAGTAAGTAGGTTGCATTCAACACAGTCAACACAACTGGAAAATTTTGGTAAGTGTCGTAGATTTAAATAAGCATTGACTTGTTAGGTGCAGCAAACCTGAACCCAGAACTGAACCCATTGTGCCAATCTTGTTTGTAGCAAGATGCTCTTCCTCTAAAATCCTCAATCACTCCCTTAAATAGGGTTTTCTTAGGTTCCATTGCCTGAAAGGGGGACTAAAACATAATCAGATATCGTGCGTGCAAAGGCATGGTGTACAGAGATGAGTCATATATTCCCTGTCTTAATTTTTATAAGACATCCACAGATTTCTAATTCAAGATATAATGTTTACCAACAGGGAAAAGATGTGGCTATACCAACAACTATTTCAACAATACTTAGGTTTGGCAGAAAAAAAGGTGGCACCTCTTGAGTCATATTTGAAACTACTTGTTCATGATCACAGTTTTGTGATTATGAACAACATCATGTAAGAATGAACTAAGACTAGAAGTTCTATTTTGGACGCCACAACAAGTAAAACAGCATCTCGTAAAAATCAACTGAAGATGTCATGTTGTTCCCACACAAACAAAGCCAAGAGAATTTGCAAAGAAAACTGTGCATGAAGACAATGGACAGAGCTGCATTACCCCATACAATGTTGCTTCATAACTTGAGATTTCGTCTGTGAAAGAATACGATAGCTAGCACGTGAAGCATCAGCAAAAGGAAATAGCAAGGTTGGCCCAATTTGGCTTGCCTCTGTTTGTTATGCTATATTTAGCATGCTGGATGGGCCAAATTTTGACTGGTCATTAACCACTGAATGATAGCCTTTGGTATGCCCAGTATCCTTCATTTAACAAGATAGCCAAAAAGGGAGGGTTTTCAACTTTCAGGAAAACCAAAAAAAAAGGGAGGGTCATTAAAGCAGACCATTTGGACCAGCTGAATTAGGCTGACGCAAGCATCCTATCGACCAACAGACATTTGAAACTAGCCCCAAAGGCTGGGGGCAAATATTATGTGACAATAGGCCATAGCAAAGGGAAGCAAACGCCATACATGGATGAACATGATACCACAAGCTTATGCGATGGCCGTGCTCTGCTTAAGGAAATCAATCAAGCTGCCTGATCTCCTCTGTATGCAAGCTTCACGCACCGCAATCGTGAAGAGAAGTTGAAGCAAGCTCCAAATTCACATAAATAAAAATCGGGTACAAATCATGCATGTTTGGGGCCATGTTAATAACAACCAAAAGTAGTGAAATGACGCTACAATTTTGCAGGGGATTGCATATTTGCATCCATGCGACAAAGCTGCAAGTAATTAGAACGCTTCAAACAGAAGTGCTAGGAGATGGCCAAAGAAATGTTACAGAGATAGAGAGAAATTCACCCTACGTGCTCATTGCTGCTGCTGCAGATGAACAAATTGGCGAAGAATCGCATTCTTCCAAAAAAAACATGTACGGCATCAAATTCAAGAGCTACATGGAAACATTTCCTTCAGGCGCACATAATCACCCCGAGTTGAATCAACAAGAGCAACAGACAGAAACACGGACGCGTCAAATTTGACATATCCGCACGGCTGCACCCAGCAAACCCAAGCAACCAACCCGTGGAGGACCTTTCGAGGTGAGGGGATTGAGGGATTGGAACGGAGCGGAGCCTTACCAGCAGCGGAGTACCAGGTCGAGGCGGGGTGGGGGAGGCGAGGCGAAGCGTGGCGCCGGAGATGTGCCGTAGTGCAACGGCAATGCCGCCTCCACCGGCGACGCAGGGTGCGAAACCCGGCGTCGGCAGGCGGAGGAGGCAAGCTGGGGCCGGGGCCGGGCGGGGTTGCAGCCTTCTTTCCTTCCTTCCCACCCATTTCCTCTGCAATGGCCGCCTATTTGTAGACCCCGGCGACCCCATCGGGGAGAGAAGACGAGTGTGCGCGCGCCTGCCCCCCGATTTCCCTCTCTGTCACGTGGGCCCGATGAAAATAGTAAACGTGGTGCCGGGACTGCGTGGGGCCGAGGTGTCACCGGCGCACGGCCCTTGCGGGTTTGAATCGAGGAGCATCGCGGCCGTCCGTTCGAGCCGATGGTACGATCTGCGTGGGGCCAGTGCGAGTCACCGCGCGTGTCAGCCAGCAGGACAGCTGCCCCCAATCTGGTCCACATCGTCCTCTCGCCTGCTCTGAGCCTGATCGAGCACGTTCGCTCCAAGCACCGGCTGGGCAACTCGCACGCGGGGGCTAGCAGACCCGATGATGCCGTGACGACGTTTCCGCCGTTTGGTTCGGCCTCGGCCAACTCGATCGAAACTTGATGCACGTTTCCCTTCCAAACTTAGACGAGACGTACGCGAGGGATGCACCCACCAGCTGGCCTATCGACTATCGAGACATGGCAATCAGGGAAATGGGGCGATTGGGCAGGCTCTGCTGCCATTACGACTTACGAGCGTACGGGGTGCTGCCCTCTCGCAGCCATGTCATATTCAGTGTGACCTGTACAATGGGAGCATGGTTTTATCAAGCAGAAGAACTGCACGCGTGCTTCGTGTGGAATGAGGTGCAACTATACATACATGCATGCTAACATCGATCCGTAACCCGTTGTGTAACCTCATACCACTAGCCTGAGGCTGAATTCAGTACCGTAACAATAGCAATCACATCCTGACTGAAACAAACAGAAGGATCCACGCTGCTTGATTCAGTATAATATCAAATTGGCACCACAAGTTGGTTCAGGATTTAGCTACCAGTAAACATCACGTGGATGGAGCCACATGGGAGATGGGGCACAAATCTGACTACATCACCTCGGGGAAACCTCACAACTAACAACACTGCTCGTGCCATAATATATTCATTCCCACGCAAATTCATGCAAGCCTACATACAAATCGGCAAAAATAAGGCATGCATCCAGGTGAACGAGGAATATTAGGAAACGGAAAAGATTAACCTGCCATGGCAATCATTTAAAACAGAACCGCGCCGCAATACTTGCATGTCTGGAAGATTGACCACACTGATACCAACAAGTAAAAGCAATATTAGAAATCATTCAAAACATAACAAAAATGACATCGCTTCATATAGCTCAAGTAAGCTACCAAGACAATGTTGTGGTCCTTCACAGAGAAAACGCAGAAGCTTTGCGACTTGATGCATTGATAGAAGTACGCACAACCCTCTGAGTAAGCACCCCCATGAACATGACTACAAAAAAAAATGCACCCATTGTGCTGTCAAAAATGAAGAAAAATCATGAGGCCGGAACGAAAAGACGCAAATCAGAACTCAAACTCGAAGCACTCACATCCTTGTTGTTTGTGAACTGGATAGGTCAAGGTTGGCCACAGCTTTACTGGTCAAGGCCCACTGCCTAACCGAACCCTAGCTCAGAGGAGTAAAATGTGTGCTAGAGCGTCCTGGAAGGGTGAAACGGAGTAGGGGCATTTGCTGCTATATCCTGTAAAAACAAGGGGTGACTACAAGCATGGTGGCAAGTGGCAATAGAAGGAGATTGTGAGGGTTGGCAGAGCCAAGTCCTAGATCATTGAGTTCTCGTTGGTTTAAGTTTCATGCAGCACATGTGGGTGGAGATTGTTAGGGAGGAGGGTGGAGCAAGGAAGGTTTTGAGAGTTCACGCTTAATAAATCTTGATATCGCTTGTACATTTTTAATGGAGTGGACCATGACATGGTTTCCAACATTCCATGTTTCCACTGAATGTGGTTTCAATGTGATAATCTTAAGAGGAAAAAAACAACATCATAGAACCTATTTTTAAGTACTCAGAGGACCATAATATCAGAGTGCAACATTTGGCTACCGTACAACATTTACATCTACTAAGAGCAATAAAATATGATATTGAGATAAAGAAACAATTCATCTGAACGTAATAAGCAAATAATTGTACCTGCCACTTTTCTCTGTCTTCTATAAAGAGCTCCATGGAGAGTAACCCCAACGCCTCGTGCTATATGCACTCTACCTATTGTAGATAGAGAAGAATACACATAGCAACCCCAGCACCTCGGTAATCAAATTTTATCTGAACCAGATAACAAGAATCCTGCCAGCACAAATGATTTAGGATACTCCTTTTGAAATTGCAACAGCATGCTATCATAGGAAAATTATTTAAAATACCAATACCTTCAAAGAAGATATAAAAGATGAAAAATATATTGATTTCAGAACTTCATGGTCATCTGAGTCCTATTAAGAGTCATGTGTCTACTACACAAATTACCGAAAAGACACGGACACCCGGCAAGATTACACTCACAAAAGACTGGTGCAGTAAAAGCACGTGTTTGAGTTACATTCGAATCCCACCTGTGCAGCATGCTGCTGATTACAAAGCTTGCAGAAAACAGGAGGTTAAAGTAGTGCAGATATAATAGAAACAGGATTCATAGATTAAACAGTGAAGCCAATATGTTGTATCACAACAAGGTTCCAACTGGCCTAGACCAAATGTACATACTGGTATGCCGACACATGCATTAAGCTGCTTATGCTTTTGTCATTGCTTCGCACAAAAAGGGCCAGCAGGACCTTATTGCCTTGGGAGCCCTTTGGTATTTATTTATATTTGTGACTACCCCCCTTTAAATTAGCAAGGTGGTACATATCTCAAATTAGTATCCATGCTACTGACCAGCCACACTTGGGCAGAATTTCAACCGGGCAAGGCTAAGGTGTCACAGTTGTGGAAAATAGAATAGACAACAGGAGAAATGCATCCTAGTAACTAAAATATTTGTAACATAGATATGTATGACAGAACTTGTATAAAATTCAAAGAGACGATGATACCAATGTCCAAGAGAATTATGATATCAGCTATAAATATTTCTTGCTAGATCTTACTACTAGTTTACAACACCAGATACAAAAGTAACACCATTTATGTAAATCAATGTAATTTCACTTCAGTACCCACTACAAAAATCTTTCTATGTTGTCAACTAAGTCTGGCAATCTTTCCAGAACTCACCAGTTAGACTTCATCTGTCAAGTGGCAGTGTGGAATATGTTAACATGAACAGGCATGTGGCTATCTTTGTACCATGTACAGAGTGTTATAAAAGCCAGACACTACATGTGTCAGTATCTTTAGTAATGTCGACTCTTCATTCATGTCTGTTGGAAGGAGGGAAATAATTAAAAGAAGAAATACGTTCCTGAAATGTGAGATGTATAACTTAAAGAAAACCTGAGTAAAAGATGAGGGAGTTCTACTTTGTGCAAAGTTTGGATAAAAAGACCAACTCGAATCGCATAGTGTGCTAGAGGAGGCGTTGTTCATAATAGTTTGGGAGGTATACCAAACATTATAGGATATTTCAGCTGCCAAAATATATATTAAAAAATTGGCACAATTGCCAGACTAAGGCTTTAAATCATAAAGTATTGGTTCCAAGTACCAACAGGTAACCTATGGTTAAATATACGATCCTAAAATAAATAAATGTATCAATGAAAATCACTAGAGGTGTGTCTCACTTGAGAATCGGGGTGCAAATGGCTACCCTTTTGGTATTCTCTGGCCCTCTTTAGTTCAACCAAATGAACTAAACTTTTAAAAGTCACATCACTTTGAAAATTTAGTCCATTTGGTTGAACAAACAAGGGTCAGAGGGTGCCCTGAGGGTCAGAAATTTGCATCCCTACTTGAGAACCGGGCAGACAAACGAATATAACTACTCCTATATGTTACTCAATCATAATGTGCTACAAAGAAAATGTTTGTTTAGGCACAAGAACTTTCGTTTTCCCTCAAAAGGGACAAATTTTCTTATTATTTAGCACATTATGTCTGATTTTTATGGTACAGGCAACATTTCTGAGAAGTGAGAACACATAATAAAATATGGTTAGAGGAAAATCTAGTGATGATTGTTTGGAACAAAGATCATTGAGAGCCATTGATAATTACACAGCACAACAATTTGGCATGCAACACTTAAAGTTTCAGATTCCGTAATCTCAAATGCTAATTGCAATGGTTAGAACAAAGTTGCTAGTTCGGTGTAAAATATACTATTGTTATTCATCCGCAAGTATTCAGCAGTGAGAACAACATTAATCCATCTAAATTGAAATCACCAGAAGAACAGAAAGAAAGAGTATGCTACCTTCAATTATTGCCGGCTTTCCTAGATACACAAGGGTTCAGTTCACTGCTTTCCCAACATCGTATCCAGAATAAAGTTAACCTTAAACATATCTGTGTCGTGACAATAACCAGCCCTACAGAATATTCTGATTGTGAGGTCAAATATAGAACTATCGGGGATAAAACCTTTTTCTTCCATTCCCTTGAATATGTGAATTGTCTCCCAGATTTTGCCATTGTGAGCAAGCCTGTTTGTAAGGACAGCAAAAAGATCCCTTGACAGTCCAATCTCAAGCGATTCTAGAAAGTAACTAGTGGCTGTATCAAAAAATCCATCTCTGCATAATCCATCAACGATTATAGTGTAGGTAACTTCATCTGGAGCAATCCTCTCTGCTGTCATGTCAAATATTAGGTCCTTCACCTCACTGAGCTTTCGACTGTAGTAAAAAACAAAATAAATGAGTGTATTGTATGTCACGACATTTGCAGCAAAACCTTGGTTACTTGCGAGGCTCTTGGCTATGGAGAACTTTCGGCGAAAGCAAAGACTACGAATGACAATGTTGAATGTCCTCGTGTTTGGCATGACACCTCTCTTGATCATGTCTGTCAACAACTTTAGAGCACTCATCCAATGTCCCATTTCACCTAAGCAGCTCATCACAGTGTTGTATGCAACAACACCAGCATAGCATTTCAATGATGTGCTCCTCTCCAGCAAGCATACGGCATCATGAATCCTCTTGTCATGGCAAAGGCAATTCAGAAGAATACTCAAAGTGAAATCTGTGGGATCCAGCCCTTCGCCTAGCATAACATCCAACTGCTCAAGTACTTCTTTAGCCATACCTTTCTTGCAGAGACCATTCATAAATGTGTTGTAGGTGACAGTACTGGGTTTCCAATCCTTGGTTCTACTATCCGTTAAAACTTGCCTGACTTCGTCAAATCTGGCAGCATCACACAAAGCCCTGATCAGAATATTGTAGGTGACTACATTGGGAGGACAACCAGCATTTTCCATCGTGGACATCAGCTCCTTGGCCTCGTCGACACGACCTTCACGGCAATACCCCTGTACAATGGGCGTGTAAGTTTGCACCATGGGACGGCACCCCACTTCCAGCATCCACTCGAGCACGCCCCATGCCTCGCCCACTCTCCCCACACGGCACAGCCCCGTGACAAGCGTGGAGTAGGTGCCCACCTCAGCTTCCACCCCGAGCTCTTGCAACTGGATGATCACCTTGTACGCGAGGTCAAACCGCGCAGATCTCCACGAATGCAGCTTGACAAGGATGTTGAGGGACGATGCATTGGGCGCCACCCCTGCTGCAAGCATTTCATCGAACGCGTTGTGGGCCTCCTCCACCCGGCCAGCTTCTGCGAGCGCATTGACGAGAGTGTTGTAGCAAAGCACATTGGGCGGCGAGGCACCTCCCGGCCCGGTTCTGGAAGCCCTGAGCTCTCTGAAGAGGGCGAGCACCTGGTCGACTTCGCCCGCACGCGCCAGGGCCTTCATGGCCACGTTGCAGTCGCGCTCCAGCTGCCACCACCGCGGCCTCTGCTGATGCTGCGGAGGAGGGCGGGTTTCTCCCGACGCGGGTGGAGGCGGGAGGGGCTTGGCGTCGTCAGAGTCGTCGGAGGAGGGGCAAGTGGGAAAGGGGAGTGCGGTGAGGGCCGCAACGGAGGCGGAGGAGGCCATGCGCCCGCGCAGGAGGAGCCGAGCGGTGGGGAGGGCGGTGGCGAGCGCGATGGTCGCCAACGGAGGGGTTCACCGGCAGGCGCCGTGGCGGCGGGGGTGGCGGCGCAGGGAGGAGAGAGACCGAGGAGAGACTGATTTGGGATGGGGCAGCTGGGCTGAAACGGCGGCGGGGAAGCGCTAGCCCTTTTGGGCATGCCAAGGCGGGTTTTTGCGTGGGGTTTTGTAGACGTGGGCCGGAGCTGCAACCAACCGGAGTATAAGCTTCAGCCCAGATAGGAGGAGCCTTCGCTGAAGTCCAGCGCAAATGGGACGGCCCACTCTGCCCATGACCGTTTTTTTTCTTCGGTTTCTAAGACTATTTTTCATACAAAAAAACCGGCTGTTGTTTTTAGTAGCTAGGTATTTTAAAACCTATTAAAAATAGAAATATATAGTCTATAAAATTGTTCAGTATGTGTTATATATAAAAGTTCAATGTCTGTTAACAAATGTTATGTGCGTATTACAAAAATGTTCATCATATATAATTAGAAAAAGTTCACCATATATTAAGAAATGTTCCATGTATATAACAAAAAATGTTCATCATATATAGAAAAATCAATGTATATTTAAAAATGTTCATTGTATACTAGAACAAGTTTGACATGTATTTGAAATAAATGTTCACCATATATTGTGAAAACTGTAAAAAAATAACAAAATGTGGAAAAAAAACTATAAAAAATAACAAAATGTGAAAAGCAGAAGAAATATAAGAAAAACCAAATCTGAAAAACGAAAAGACAAAATATAAACCTAACAAAAACACAAAACAGAAAACTGAAACCAAATAACCACACACAAGGAAAAACAAGAAAAGAAAAACGTGCGCACGCATAAAATGAGAGATAGGATGAGAAAGACTAATGAGAGAAACAAAAAAATATAGCCTTGTGCATAAAGACTGGCCAAACCCATGTTAGCTCAGCACCGAAATGAACTCATTCGTGTTGAGGGTGTAAGATGTTTGGTTTAGGGACCAAAATCGGCCCAGTCAAAGAGTTGAGGGACCAAAAATTGACTTTTCTCCCTTTTGGAGGTTATTTACTCGAATAGTCTGCATTTGTTTCGGGAAGGTTAAATATCGATAATATCATCTTGGCCTTTGGATGCTTACACTTTATGAAACTAACAAGGGTAAGAAGCATAGAAGTTGTGCCCTAATGATTGACATGGTGAAAGTATGTGATTGTCTGATTTCGGGTTCCGGCAGACCCTTGAGGTTCGAACACTGGGGTGCGCGCGGAGATTTCGCCTCCTACCTACCTACACCCCTCCGCCATGCTAGGATCTAAACTAAGGAAAGAACAACACAACAGACACAGGGTTTATACTGGTTCGGGCCACCGTTGTGGTGTAATACCCTACTCCAGTGTGTGGTGTGGTGGATTGTCTCTTGGGCTGATGATGATGAACAATACAAGAAAGAACAGTCTCGCGAGGGTCTGTTCTTGGCTGGGGGGATGAACTACTGAGAAGAGTTCAGTCACCTTTCCCTCTCTATATCTTCCTCTCTCCCCCTCTCACTTCCGATCTCGAACCCCTTGCTATGTGGGCGGCTGGTCCTATTTATAGAGGCCCTGGTCCTCTTCCCAAATATCGAGCGGGAAGGGAGCCAACAATGGCGGGCTAATTTGAAGAGGGACAACAAGTATCAGCTATCCTGACAAAAGTAGTTTTCGTTTGCGCAAAGCTCTGGTGATGACGCCGTCTTGGGCTCCACGATGACCTCCGTCTCGTAGTCCTCCTGGTCTTGGTCTCGTTGCACCGAAATGGCAACCTTTGCCTGATGCCTCGGTACTCCGCGGCTGCGCTTGCCCCCTTTGCACCAAAGAGGAAAGGAGGACGCTGCGCGGGTTGGCACCCGCCTGGCGCCCTGAGTCGTCATGGCTTGCGTCACGGGCACCTCGTGAGGTACCCCGCCTTGATCTCTCCGCCTCCTCGTGAGCCAGCCTGACAAGGCCGTGCCTGAGGAAGCTCCGCGTCGTCCGCCCCGCGAGGCTTGGCCCCTCGCGAGGGTCTTGGGTTTGTGTTGGTGAAGACGGGCCGTGTTGGGCCCCCCTTTGAGCCACGCCGCAAGCCGCAGGCAGGCAAGTCTAGGGACCCCCGTTCCCAGAACGCCGACAGTAGCCCCCGGGCCCAAGGCGCGCCCGGACTTGGCCGTGCAGGGAGGCGAAAGGGCAAGAGCGAAGCGCCGCGGGCCCTAACAGCCTGCGGCCTTGGGCGCCGTGTGGCGGTTGACTAGACGTGGGTGCCTCCACTTACCCACGACGCCTCGGCAACTGCACGGATTGGACAAGTCCCTACATGCAAAAATGGGTCATGATTACCTGCGATCGTGGAGGTCGGCGGTTGGCCTTCGCCGGCCATAAGTACGGAACGGCGCGCGCCCTTCCAGTCCATCCCTCCTTGCTTCTCCTTCTTCCCAATCCTTGCTCCGTCTTGCCGCGATGGCTTCGATCCACCGGTTCTCGATGGCAGAGAGGGGAAAGGCTCCCCAAGAGGGACCAGACCCACTCCCGCCAAAGAAACGGCTCATCCCCCGTGGCCCGGACGAGGGGGCCCTTCAGGTGGTGTCGAGGCCTTTGTGCGAGCGGGCGCCGCCGGGGTTCCCGCTTCCATTGTACGCCCACGTCAAGGTCCCCGAAGGAGCTGATGCTGACCGCCACGGGCGGCGCCGCCGTCGGCGCCGCCGGGTCATGAAGGTGTGGGTCGTCCCTCCTGGGGTCCACACCGAGGGCTCCTCCCAAGAGTTCGTGCTCCACGTCGCCATTCCTCTTCAGTCTTGGATCCGCCTTCCTCCCTTCTTCGCCTTCATCATCCCGCAGGGGGAGCCCCTGGAGCTCTGGCTGCAGCACGCCGGCTGCAGCACCCTCGCGACCAAGGCAAAGGTCGCGGTCGTCGCCCCAGACGAGGTCTACATGACTCGGGGCTGGAGAGAGATCGCCCGGGTTTGCAGGACAAGGGGCGTCTTCGCGATCCACTTGGACTACGATGGTGCTTCGGTGATGCTTTTTAAGGTCTTCGATGCGAGCGGGCGCCGGCTGGAGTGCTGCCCCGGGGAAGGTGGCCAGCGCCCTGCTGCGACGAGGACTGGGCTCGCCACCCGCTCCCTTGGAGGCTCCTCGGGCGGTGGAGACGTCGGAGGTTCCAGCGACTCCGGCGAGCCCTTCGCGACTCCGGAGACGAGCGACGACAGCTACGAGCCCCCGAGCCGGCGCCACTCCTGGAGCAGGGCGGGCTCGTCGGGCCGTCGCCGACTCTGATCTGGATGGGGTTGGCGTCGATGCTTGACGGCCCACTGTTGATGATGGCGACTTTTGTAGGGATGCGTGTAGTTTGCGTCCCTTTAGGATCTGTTCCCTGCGAGAAATCAAAGACGCGCCCCGTGGGGGCTTGTAAGGTGCCTGTGTAACACCCTCGATGCGACTATAGCTCCCACGTGTCGACGCACGACTTAGAGGCATAATCGCATTGAAGGCATATGTCGCAAGTTAGGCAATCTTCACAACATCCCACGTAATAAAAATATGTAATAAAAGGGAAGATAACATAGTTGTCTTACACTCGCCATGTCAATCAAGTACATAAATAACATTACATCATCCAAACACTCATGGCCCGACTACGGCGCCAAAATAAAGATAACCCAACATGCGACACGGTCCCGATCACCCCCAACTGGGCACCACTACTGATCATCGGGAAAAGAAACATAGTATCGTTGAGAGTCTTCGTTGAACTCCCACTTGAGCTCAAGCGCGTCACCTAGAGCGGAATCATCAGGCCCTGCATCTGGTGTAATAGTAATCTGTGAGCCATAGGGACTCGGCAATCTCGCACTCTCGCGATCAAGACTATATAAGCTTATAGGTAAGGCAAGGTAAATATGTGGAGCTGCAGCAAGCGACTAGCAAAAATGGTGGCTATCCTGTTCGCAAAAGAGAGCGAGAAGAGGAGGCAAAGCGCGAGCGAGAAACTAGAGAGCAACCTGCGCCAACATTACTCCAACACCGTGTCCACTTCCCGGACTCCGCCGAGAAGAGGCCATCACGGTAACTCACACAGTTGATTCATTTTAATTAAGCCAAGGTTCAAGTTATGTACAACCGGACATTAACAAATTCCCATCTGCCCATAACCGCGGGCACGGCTTTCGAAAGTTCAAATCCCTGCAGGGGAGTCCCAACTTAGCCCATGACAAGCTCTCACGGTCAACGAAGGAATAGACCTCATCCCGAGACATTCCGATCAGACTCGGTACCTCGGTTCTTCAAAACACTTCGACAGGTTAAAACAAGACCAGCAACACCGCCCGAATGTGCCGACAAATCCCGATAGGAGCTGCACATATCTCGTTCTCAGGGCACACTCAGATGAGCCAGACGTCGGGTAGGCCAACCCAGAGTTGCCCCTGGTAGCCCCGGACATCGCTCGGTTGGACCAACACTCAGAGGAGCACTGGCCCGGGGGGGTTTAAAATAAGATGACCCTCGGGCTCCGGAAACCCAAGGAAAAAAAAGGCTAGGTGGCAAATGGTAAAACCAAGGTTGGGCATTGCTGGAAAATCTTTAATCAAGGCGAAATATCAAGGGGTTCCCATTATAACCCAACCGCGTAAGGAACACAAAATCCGGGAACATAACACCGATATGACGGAAACTAAGGCGGCAAGAGTGGAACAAAACACTAGGCGAGAGGCCGAGCCTTCCACCCTTTACCAAGTATATAGATGCATTAAGATAACAAGATAATATAATGATATCCCAACAAGTAAATAAATGTTCCAACAAGGAACGGCCTCCAATCTTCACCTGCAACTAGCAACGCTATAAGAGGGGCTGAGCAAAGCGGTAACATAGCCAATCAACGGTTTGCTAGGACATGGTGCGTTAGAGGTTTGACATGGCAATTTGGGAGGCTTGAAAGCAAGTGGTAGGCATCGTAGCATTGGCATA